AGCATAATTGGGGTCCGCGAGCTCACAAATGACGTCTTTACATTGAAGAAAAAACCTCGTTTCGGACGTTTGTAGCCTCGAGAAGCGAAAACAGCCGCACCTGTGCAGATCATGGAGCATACAATTCTCCGTCGTGGAGGTCCGTGACCAATCGCTTTCGCTGCACTCCCAGGCATTTTCCAACATATTTGCGTGTCCGCGAACTCACAAATGACGTCCTAATATTGAAGAAAAAACCTTGTTTCTGACGTTTGTAGCCCTGATAAGCGAAAACAGCCGCACCTGTGCAGATCATGGAGCAGGCAATTTTCTGTCGTGGAGGTCCCTGACCAATCGCTCTCACTTCACTCCCAGGCATTTTCCTGCATAATTGCGGGTCCGCGAGCTCACAAATGACGTCTTTACATTGAAGAAAAAGCCTCGTTTAGGACATTTGTAGCCTCGAGAAGTGAAAACAGCCGCACCTGTGCAGATCATGGAGCAGACAATTTTCCGTCGTGGAGGTCCCTGACCAATCGCTCTCGCTTCACTCCCAGGCACTTTCCAACATAATTGCGGGTCCGCAAACTCACAAATGACGTCTTCACATTGAAGAAAAAACCTCGTTTCGGACGTTTGTAGCCCCGAGAAGCGAAAACAGCCGCACCTGTGCAGATCACGGAACAGACAAATTCCCGTCATGGAGGTCCGTGACCAATCCCTCTCCCTTGACTCCCAGGCATTTTCCAACATAATTGCGGGTCCGCGAACTCACAAATGACGTCTTTACATTGAAGAAAAAACCTCATTTCGGATGATTGTAGCACCGAGAAGCGAAAACAGCCGCACTTGTGCGGATCATATGGAGCAGGCAATTTTCCCTCGTTGAGGTCCCTGACCAATAACACTCGCTTCACTCCCAGGCATTTTCCAGCGTAATTGCGGGTCCTGGAACCCACAAATGACGTCTTTACATTGAATAAAAAACCTCGTTGGGGCGTTTGTAGCCTCGAGAAGCGAAAACAGCTACACCTATGCAGATCATGGAGCAGACAATTTTCCGTCGTGGAGGTCCCTGACCAATCACTCTCGCTTCACTCCTTGGCATTTTCCAACATATTTGCGAGTCCGCGAATTCACAAATGACGCCCTAATATTGAAGAAAAGACCTTGTTTTTGATATTTGTAGCCCTGAGAAGCGAAAACAGCCGCACCTGTGCAGATCATGGAGCAGGCAATTTTCCGTCGTGGAGGTCCCTGACCAATCGCTCTCGCTTCACTCCCAGGCACTTTCCAGCATAATTGTGGGTCCGCGAACTCACAAATGGCGTCTTTACATTGAAGAAAAGCGCAAACAGTCGCTCCTCTGCAGTTCATGGAGCAGGCAATTTTCCGTCGTGGAGGTCCTTGACCAATCGCTCTCGCTTCACTCCCATGCACTTTCCAGCATAATTGCGGGTCCGCGAACTCACAAATGACGTCGCATTTGTCGAAATAGTAGGTACAGTGAGAGGCCATAGCTAGGAGAACCCTAGCTAGGCAAGAGAGAATTGAACGAAAGAGAGGCTTTGCACTAGCAACAACGGTGGTACAAATAGCTAACCCTAGAAGGGCTGTACTCGCTATAGAGCACCCCACTGCAGGCTAGAGCATAATATTCTGACACACCCCCATAGCCAAAGTGGGGTGTAATCAGCACAGCAAGCAAAGCAGTACAAGCTCAGGGTGGATCACGATGTCACCACACATTCTGAGCACATGAACAAGAAGCAAAAGTTTAAAGTTCACAATTATGGGTAAAGCTAAAGCTGTCACAGAGGGCAAGCGAGGAGGAGGAGGGCTGGTGAGATGAGAGAAGAGTGGAGGCGACGACTGAAGCTGCAGACACTCGGGCAACAGACGGCTCTGGTGCAACGCTGGTGGCTACCGGGAGGAGAAAGGCCCCGGAATACAGGAGTAACAGGCTCTGCAACTGATCAGCCAGCGACAGTAGCAACGGACCCACGGGCGACAGGTGCAACCGGCTCTCTGAGCTACCGGGAGGAGAAAGGCCCCGGAATACAGGTGCTGCGGACGACACGACGGCAACCTCCGCTCAACCTCCTCCAACTGCCCCACACACCCCCCACACACCCACTGCTGAAACCCTAGCTCCATTCCCACGGCACCCCCCTTAAACCCTAAACCCTCGGCTCCCACACACCACCCCCCTCAGCGGCAGCTGCAGTAGAGGGAGACTAGGGAGGAGGAGGAGTAGGGGGAGGAACTCACAACCGACACCCCCATAGCCGCCACCCCCACACTCCTCACCCCCAAACCCTAAAACGGGCGAAAGGGGAAAGGAGCACGGGGGACGACGAGGGGGAGGGCGCGCGGCCACCAGGGCGCCACCACCAGGCAGCGAGGGGCCGTGCGCGGCTCCCCAAAGCGCCGCGACGGGAGATCGGGGCCGAGGGGGGTCGCGCGCGGCTCCCCAGGGCGGCGCGACGGGAGATCGGGGCCGCGGGGGGTCGCGCGCGGCTCCCCAGGGCGGCGCGACGGGAGATCGAGGCCGCGGGGGGTCGCGCGCGGCTCCCCAGGGCGGCGCGACGGGAGATCGGGGCCGCGGGGGGTCGCGCACGGCTCCCCAGGGCGGCGCGACGGGAGATCGGGGCCGCGGGGGGGTCGCGCGCGGCTCCCCAGGGCGGCGCGACAAGAAATCGGGGGCGCGCGGGGGTCCCCCACGGTAGGAAACCGCCGCGCGCCTCGGGGCGCACGGCGGGCAGAAAACCGCCGCACGCCCCGAGCGCGCGGCGGGATGAAAAATCCGTCGCACGCCACGGGGCGTGCGACACAGACTATAGTTGTAGCAGCGGAAGACTTAGGTGGCGGGCCCACCCACAGGATCGACCCAACAGGATCGTCCTGCTCTGATACCATGTCGAAATAGTAGGTACAGTGAGAGGCCATAGCTAGGAGAACCCTAGCTAGGCAAGAGAGAATTGAACGAAAGAGAGGCTTTGCACTAGCAACAACGGTGGTACAAATAGCTAACCCTAGAAGGGCTGTACTCGCTATAGAGCACCCCACTGCAGGCTAGAGCATAATATTCTGACAGCATTCGCCCCCATTCACGTTCGTAACCATTCACATTCGCCCCCATTCACGTTCGTCCCCATTCACGTTCGTCCCCATTCACGTTCGCCCCCATTCACGTTCGCCCCCATTCACGTTCGCCCCCATTCACGTTCGCCCCCATTCACGTTCGCCCCCATTCACGTTCGCCCCCATTCACGTTCGCCCCCATTCACGTTCCCCCTCATTCACGTTCGCCCCCATTCACGTTCGCCCCCATTCACGTTCGCCCCCATTCACGTTCGCCCCCATTCACGTTCGCCCCCATTCACGTTCGCCCCCATTCACGTTCGCCCCCATTCACGTTCGCCCCCATTCACGTTCGCCCCCATTCACGTTCGCCCCCATCCACGTCGCCCCCATCCACGTTCGCATTCACGTTCGCCCCTATTCACGTTCGCCCCCATTAACGTTCGCCCCCATTCACGTTCGCCCCCATTCACGTTCGCCCCCATTCACGTTCGCCCCCATTCACGTTCGCCCCCATCCGCGTTCGCCCCCATTCGCGTCCGCCCCTATTCGCGTCCGCCCCCATTCGCGTCCGCCCCCATCCCCTTCGCCCCCATTCGCGTTCGCCCCCATTCGCGTTCGCCCCCATTCGCGTTCGCCCCCATTCGCGTTCGCCCCCATTCGCGTTCGCCCCCATTCGCGTTCGCCCCCCTTCGCGTTCGCCCCCCTTCGCGTTCGCCCCCCTTCGCGTTCGCCCCCCTTCGCGTTCGCCCCCCTTCGCGTTCGACCCCCTTCGCGTTCGCCCCCATTCGCGTCCAGGTTCGCCCCCGTCCAGGTTCGCCCCCGTCCAGGTTCGCCCCCGTCCACGTTCGCCCCCGTCCACGTTCGCCCCCGTTCACGTTCGCCCCCGTTCACGTTCGCCCCCTTCCACGTTCGCCCCCGTTCACGTTCGCCCCCGTTCACGTTCGCCCCCTTCCACGTTCGCCCCCGTTCACGTTCGCCCCCTTCCACGTTCGCCCCCGTCCACGTTCGCCCCCGTCCACGTTCGCCCCCGTCCACGTTCGCCCCCGTCCACGTTCGCCCCCGTCCACGTTCGCCCCCGTCCACGTTCGCCCCCGTCCACGTTCGCCCCCGTCCACGTTCGCCCCCGTCCACGTTCGCCCCCGTCCACGTTCGCCCCCGTCCACGTTCGCCCCCGTCCACGTTCGCCCCCGTCCACGTTCGCCCCCGTTCACGTTCGCCCCCTTCCACGTTCGCCCCCGTTCACGTTCGCCCCCGTCCACGTTCGCCCCCTTCCACGTTCGCCCCCTTCCACGTTCGCCCCCTTCCACGTTCGCCCCCGTCCACGTTCGCCCCCGTCCACGTTCGCCCCCTTCCACGTTCGCCCCCTTCCACGTTCGCCCCCCTCCACGTTCGCCCCCCTCCACGTTCGCCCCCCTCCACGTTCGCCCCCCTCCACGTTCGCCCCCCTCCACGTTCGCCACCCTCCACGTTCGCCCCCCTCCACGTTCGCCCCCCTCCACGTTCGCCCCCCTCCACGTTCGCCCCCCTCCACGTCCGCCCCCCTCCACGTCCGCCCCCCTCCACGTCCGCCCCCCTCCACGTCCGCCCCCCTCCACGTCCGCCCCCCTCCACGTCCGCCCCCCTCCACGTCCGCCCCCCTCCACGTCCGCCCCCCTCCACGTCCGCCCCCCTCCACGTCCGCCCCCCTCCACGTCCGCCCCCCTCCACGTCCGCCCCCCTCCACGTCCGCCCCCCTCCACGTCCGCCCCCCTCCACGTCCGCCCCCCTCCACGTCCGCCCCCCTCCACGTCCGCCCCCGTCCACGTCCGCCCCCGTCCACGTCCGCCCCCGTCCACGTCCGCCCCCGTCCACGTCCGCCCCCGTCCACGTCCGCCCCCGTCCACGTCCGCCCCCGTCCACGTCCGCCCCCGTCCACGTCCGCCCCCGTCCAGGGTTTAGGGGGCGGGCGCGGACGGGGGCGGGCGGGCGCGGGCGGGGGCGGGCGGGCGCGGGCGGGGGCGGGGGCGGGCGGGCGCGGGCGGGCGGGGCGGGCGCGGACGGGGGCGGGCGGCGGGCGCGGGACGGGGGCGGGGGCGGGCGCGGGACGGGGGCGGGGGCGGGCGCGGGACGGGGGCGGGGGCGGGGGCGGGCGCGGGACGGGGGCGGGGGCGGGCGCGGGACGGGGGCAGGGGCGGGCGCGGGACGGGGGCGGGGGCGGGCGCGGGACGGGGGCGGGGGCGGGCGCGGGACGGGGGCGGGGGCGGGCGCGGGACGGGGGCGGGGGCGGGCGCGGGACGGGGGCGGGGCGGGCGCGGGACGGGGGCGGGGGCGGGCGCGGGACGGGGGCGGGGGCGGGCGCGGGACGGGGGCGGGGGCGGGCGCGGGACGGGGGCGGGGGCGGGCGCGGGACGGGGGCGGGGGCGGGCGCGGGACGGGGGCGGGGGCGGGCGCGGGACGGGGGCGGGGGAGGGCGCGGGACGGGGGCGGGGGCGGGCGCGGGACGGGGGCGGGGGCGGGCGCTGGACGGGGGCGGGGGCGGGCGCGGGACGGGGGCGGGGGCGGGCGCGGGACGGGGGCGGGGGCGGCGCGGGACGGGGGCGGGGGCGGGCGCGGGACGGGGGCGGGGCGGGCGCGGGACGGGGGCGGGGGCGGGCGCGGGACGGGGGCGGGGGCGGGCGCGGGACGGGGGCGGGGGCGGGCGCGGGACGGGGGCGGGGGCGGGCGCGGGACGGGGGCGGGGGCGGGCGCGGGACGGGGGCGGGGGCGGGCGCGGGACGGGGGCGGGGGCGGGCGCGGGACGGGGGCGGGGGCGGGCGCGGGACGGGGGCGGGGGCGGGCGCGGGACGGGGGCGGGGGCGGGCGCGGGACGGGGGCGGGGGCGGGCGCGGGACGGGGGCGGGGGCGGGCGCGGGACGGGGGCGGGGGCGGGCGCGGGACGGGGGCGGGGGCGGGCGCGGGACGGGGGCGGGGGCGGGCGCGGGACGGGGGCGGGGGCGGGCGCGGGACGGGGGCGGGGGCGGGCGCGGGACGGGGGCGGGGGCGGGCGCGGGACGGGGGCGGGGGCGGGCGCGGGACGGGGGCGGGGGCGGGCGCGGGACGGGGGCGGGGGCGGGCGCGGGACGGGGGCGGGGGCGGGCGCGGGACGGGGGCGGGGGCGGGCGCGGGACGGGGGCGGGGGCGGGGGCGCGGGACGGGGGCGGGGGCGGGCGCGGGACGGGGGCGGGGGCGGGCGCGGGACGGGGGCGGGGGCGGGCGCGGGACGGGGGCGGGGGCGGGCGCGGGACGGGGGCGGGGGCGGGCGCGGGACGGGGGCGGGGGCGGGCGCGGGACGGGGGCGGGGGCGGGCGCGGGACGGGGGCGGGGGCGGGCGCGGGACGGGGGCGGGGGCGGGCGCGGGACGGGGGCGGGGGCGGGCGCGGGACGGGGGCGGGGGCGGGCGCGGGACGGGGGCGGGGGCGGGCGCGGGACGGGGGCGGGGGCGGGCGCGGGACGGGGGCGGGGGCGGGCGCGGGACGGGGGCGGGGGCGGGCGCGGGACGGGGGCGGGGGCGGGCGCGGGACGGGGGCGGGGGCGGGCGCGGGACGGGGGCGGGGGCGGGCGCGGGACGGGGGCGGGGGCGGGCGCGGGACGGGGGCGGGGGCGGGCGCGGGACGGGGGCGGGGGCGGGCGCGGGACGGGGGCGGGGGCGGGCGCGGGACGGGGGCGGGGGCGGGCGCGGGACGGGGGCGGGGGCGGGCGCGGGACGGGGGCGGGGGCGGGCGCGGGACGGGGGCGGGGGCGGGCGCGGGACGGGGGCGGGGGCGGGCGCGGGACGGGGGCGGGGGCGGGCGCGGGACGGGGGCGGGGGCGGGCGCGGGACGGGGGCGGGGGCGGGCGCGGGACGGGGGCGGGGGCGGGCGCGGGACGGGGGCGGGGGCGGGCGCGGGACGGGGGCGGGGGCGGGCGCGGGACGGGGGCGGGGGCGGGCGCGGGACGGGGGCGGGGGCGGGCGCGGGACGGGGGCGGGGGCGGGCGCGGGACGGGGGCGGGGGCGGGCGCGGGACGGGGACGGGGGCGGGCGCGGGACGGGGGCGGGGGCGGGCGCGGGACGGGGGCGGGGGCGGGCGCGGGACGGGGGCGGGGACGGGCGCGGGACGGGGGCGGGGGCGGGCGCGGGACGGGGGCGGGGGCGGGCGCGGGACGGGGGCGGGGGCGGGCGCGGGACGGGGGCGGGGGCGGGCGCGGGACGGGGGCGGGGGCGGGGGCGGGCGCGGGACGGGGGCGGGGGCGGGCGCGGGACGGGGGCGGGGGCGGGCGCGGGACGGGGGCGGGGGCGGGCGCGGGACGGGGGCGGGGGCGGGCGCGGGACGGGGCGGGGGCGGGCGTGGGACGGGGGCATCGGCGCTCGCCAATGAAGAGCGCCCGCTGCACTTCCTGCACATGTGCAGATCCTTCCGCGTTTTGGGGCTGGAAGCGCTCGTTCCGAGCATTTTTCTTCCGCCGGGTCACGTGGCTGCGCTTGTCTAGTCCTATTACCAAACCAGCAAGGGCGTGGGAGGGTTGCGAGCATCATCGATCATCGGCGCTCGCAAATGAACTGCTTCCGAGCATTTTTCTCCCGTCAGGTCATGTGGCTGCGCTTATCTGGCCCTATGTCAAAGCTGGCAAGGGCTTGGGAGGGTTGCGAGCATCATCGGTAATCGGCGCTCGCGAATGAAGAGCGCCCACTGCACTTCCTGCACATGTGCGGATCCTTCCGCGTTTTGGAGGTGGAAGCGCTCGTCCCAAGCGTTTTCTCCGGCCGGGTCACGCGGTTGCGCTTGTCTGGACCTATTACCAAGCCAGCAAGGGCGTGGGAGGGTTGCGAGCATCATCGGTCATCGGCGCTCGCGAATAAAGAGCGCCCGCTGCACTTCCTGCACATGTGCAGATCCTTCCGCATTTTGGGGCTGGAAGCGCTCGTTCCGAGCATTTTTCTTCCGCCGGATCACGTGGCTGTACTAGCCTGGTCCTATTACCAAGCCAGCAAGGGCGTGGGAGGGTTGCAAGCATCATCGGTCATCGGCGCTCGCGAATGAAGAGCGCCCGCTGCACTTCCTGCACATGTGCGGATCTTTCCGCGTTTTGGGGCTGGAAGCGCTCGTTCCGAGCGTTTTTCTTCCGCTAGGTCACTTGGTTGCGCTTGTCTGGGCCTATTGCCAACAAGGGCGTGGGAGGGTTGCGAGCATCATCGGTCATCGGCGCTCGCGAATGAAGAGCGCCCGCTGCACTTCCTGCACATGTGCGGATCCTTTTGTGTTTTGGGGGTGGAAGCGCTCGTTCCGAGCGTTTTTCTTCCGTCGGGTCCCATGGCTGCGCTTATCTGGGACTATTACCAAGCCAGCAAGTGTATGGGAGGATTGCAAGCATCATCGATCATCGGCGCTCGCGAATAAAGAGCGCCCGCTGCACTTCCTGCACATGTGCAGATCCTTCCGGATATTGGGGCTGGAAGCGCTCGTTCCAAGCGTTTTTCTTCCGCCGGGTCACGTGGCTGCACTTGTCTGGTCCTATTACCAAGCCAGCAAGGGTGTGGGAGGGTTGCGAGCATCATCGGTCATCGGCGCTCGCGAATGAAGAGCGCCCGCTGCACTTCCTGCACATGTGCGGATCCTTCCGCGTTTTGGAGCTGGAAGCGCTTGTTCCGAGCATTTTTCTTCCGCAAGGTCACTTCGCTGCGCTTGTCTTGGCCTATTATGAAGCCAGCAAGGGCGTGGGAGGGTTGCGAGCATCATCGGTCATCGGTGCTCGCGAATGAAGAGCGCCCGCTACACTTCCTGCACATGTGCGGATCCTTCTGCATTTAGGGGGTCGAAGCGCTCGTTCCGGGAGTTTTTCTACCGCCGGGTCACGTGGCTGCGCTTGTCTGGGCCTATTACCAAGCCAGCAAGGGCGTGGGAGGGTTGCGAGCATCATCGGTCATCGGCGCTCGCGAATGAAGAGCGCCCGCTGCACTTCCTGCACATGTGCGGATCCTTCTGCGTTTTGGGGCTGGAAGCGCTCGTTCCGAGCGTTTTTCTGCTGCCGAGTCACGTGGCTGCGCTTGTCTGGGCCTATTCTCAAGCCAGCAAGGGCGTGGGATGGTTGCGAGCATCATCGGTTACCGTCGCTTGCGAATGAAGAGCGCCCGCTGCACTTCCTGCACATGTGCGGATCCTTCCGCGTTTTGGGGGTGGAAGCGCTCATTCCGAGCGTTTTTCTTCCGCCGGGTCATGTGGCTGCGCTTTTTTGGGCCTGGTACCAAGCCAGCAAGGGCGTGGGAGGGTTGCGAGCATCATCGGTCATCGGTGCTCGCGAATATAGAGCGCGCGCTGCACTTCCTGCACATGTGTGGATCCTTCCGCGTTTTGGGGGTAGAAGCGCTTTTTCCGAGCGTTTTTCTTCCGTCGGGTCACGTGGCTGCGCTTGTCTGGGCCTATTACCAAGCCAGCAAGGGCTCGGGAGGGTGGCGAGCATCATCGGTTATCGGCGCTCGCGAATGAAGAGTGCCCGCTGCACTTCCTGCACATGTGCAGATCCTTCCGCATTTTGGGGCGGGAAGCGCTCGTTCCGAGCGTTTTTCTTCCGCCGGGTCACGTGGCTGCACTTGTCTGGTCCTATTACCAAGCCAGCAAAGGCGTGGGAGGGTTGCGAGCATCATCGATCATCGGCGCTCGCGAATGAAGAGCGCCCGCTGCACTTCTTGCACATGTGCAGATCCTTCCGCGTTTTGGGGCTGGAAGCGCTCGTTCCGAGCGTTTTTCTTCCGCTGGGTCACGTGGCTGCGCTTGTCTAGTCCTATTACCAAACCAGCAAGGGCGTGGGAGGGTTGCGAGCATCATCGATCATCGGCGCTCGCAAATGAACTGCTTCCGAGCGTTTTTCTCCCGTCATGTCATGTGGCTGCGCTTATGTGGCCCTATGACCAAGCTGGCAAGGGCTTGGGAGGGTTGCGAGCATCATCGGTAATCGGCGCTCGCGAATGAAGAGCGCCTACTGCAAATGTGCGGATCCTTCCGCGTTTTGGGGGTGGAAGCGCTCGTTCCGAGCGTTTTCTCCGGCCGGGTCACGCGGTTGCGCTTGTCTGGGCCTATTACCAAGCCAGCAAGGGCGTGGGAGGGTTGCGAGCATCATCGATCATCGGCGCTCGCGAATGAAGAGCGCCCGCTGCACTTCTTGCACATGTGCGGATCCTTCCGCGTTTTGGGTCTGGAAGAGCTCGTTCTGAGCGTTTTTCTTCCGCCGGGTCATGTGGCTGCACTTGTTTCGTCCTATTACCAAGCCAGCAAGGGCGTGGGAGGGTTGCGAGCATCATCGGTCATCGGCGCTCGCGAATGAAGAGCGCCCGCAGCACTTCCTGCACATGTGCGGATCCTTCCGCGTTTTGGGGCTGGAAGCGCTCGTTCCAAGCGTTTTTCTTCCACCGGGTCACGTGGCTGCGCTTGTCTGGGCCTATTATGAAGCCAGCAAGGGCATGGAAGGGTTGCGAGCATCATCGGTCATCGGTGCTCGCAAATATCGAGCGCCCGCTGCACTTCCTGCACATGTGCAGATCCTTCCGCGTTTTGGGGCTTGAAGCGTTCGTTTCGAGCGTTTTTCTTCCGCCGGGTCACGTGGCTGCGCTGATCTGTGCCTATTACCAAGCCAGCAAGGGCGTAGGATGGTTGCGAGCATCATCGGTCATCGGCGCTCGCAAATGAAGAGCGCCCGTTGCACTTCCTGCACATGTGCGGATCCTTCCGCGTTTTTGCGGTGGAGGCGCTCGTTCCGAGCGTTTTCCTTCCGCCGGGTCACGTGGCTGCACTTGTCTGGGCCTATTACCAAGCCAGCAAGGGCGTGAGAGGGTTGCGAGCATCATCGGTCATCGGTGCTCGCGAATGAAGAGCGCTCGCTGCACTTCCTGCACATGTGCGGATCCTTTCGCGTTTTGGGGGTGGAAGCGCTGCTTCCGAGTGTTTTTCTCTTGCCGCGTCACGTGGCTGTGCTTGTCTGACCCTATTACCAAGCCAGCAAGGGCGTGGGAGGGTTACGAGCATCATCGGTCATCGGCGCTCGCGAATGAAGAGCGCCCGCTGCACTTTTTGTACATGTTCGGATCCTTCTGCGTTTTGGGGGTGAAAGCGCTCGTTCCGAGCGTTTTCTCCCGCTGGGTCACGCGACTGCGCTTGTCTGGGCCTGTTACCAAGCTTGCAAGGGCGTGGGAGAGTTGCGAGCATCATCGGTCATCGGCGATCGCGAATGAAGAGCGCCCGTTGCACATGTGCGTATCCTTTCGCGTTTTGGAGTTGGAAGTGATCGTTCAAAGCGTTTTCTTACGCCGGGGTACGTGGCTGCGCTTGTCGAATCCTATTACCAAACCAGTAAGGGCGTGGGAGGGTTGCGAGCATCATCAGTCATCGGCGCTCGCAAATGAAGAGCGCCCGCTGCACTTCCTGCACATGTGCAGATCCTTCCGCGTTTTGGGGGTGGAAGCGACGTTCCAAGCGTATTTCATAGGCCGGGTCACGTGGCTGCGCTTGTCTAGTCCTATTACCAAGCCATTACGGGCGTGGAAGGGTTGCGAGCATCATCAATCACCGGCGCTCGCGTTTGAAGATCGCCCGCTGCACTTCCTACATATATGCGGATCCTTCCATGTTTTAAGGGTGGAAGCGTTCGTTCCGGACGTTTTTCATCCGCTGGGTCATGTGGTTGCGCTTGTTTGGACCTATTACCAAGCCAGCAAGGGCGTGGGAGGGTTGCGAGCATCATCGGTCATCGGCGCTCGCGAATGAAGAGCGCTCGCTGCTGCTCTTTCTGCACATGTGCGGATCCTTCCGCGTTTTGGGGGTGGAAGCGCTCGTTCCGAGCGTTTTCCTTACGCCGAGTGACGTGGCTGCGCTTGTCTGGGCCTATTACCAAGCCAGCAAGGGCGTGGGAGGGTTGCGAGCATCATTGGTCATCGACGCTCGCGAATGAAGAGCGTCCGCTGCACTTCCTCCACATGTGCGGATCCTTCCGCATTTTGGGGCTGGAAGCGCTCGTTACGAGCGTTTTCCTTACGCAGAGTGATGTGGCTGCGCTTGTCTGGTCCTATTACCAAGCCAGCAAGGGCGTGGGAGGGTTGCGAGCATCATCGGTCATCGGCGCTCGCGAATGAAGAGCGCCCGCTGCACTTCCTGCACATGTGCGGATCCTTCCGCGTTTTGGGGCTGGAAGCGCTCGTTCCGAGCGTTTTTCTTCCACCGGGTCACGTGGTTGCGCTTGTCTAGGCCTATTATGAAGCCAGCAATGGCGTGGGAGGGTTGCGAGCATCATCGGTCATCGGAGCTCGCGAATGAAGAGCGCCCGCTGCACTTCCTGCACATGTGCGGATCCTTCTGTCTTTTGGGGGTGGAAGCGTTCGTTCCGAGCGTTTTTCTTCCACCGAGTCACGTGGCTGCGC